TATCTATCTATCTATCTATCTATCTATCTATCTATCTATCTATCTATCTGGGGGGTTTGAGATAAGGCTTCTTTTGGTAGCTTTAGAGCCTGTCCTGGAACTTGCACTGTGGAGCAGGCTGGCCTCGAACTTGCAGAGATCTGCCTGCCTCTGTGCCACCACCACTTGGTCACTAATTTTATAATAGTCTTATAAATGAAACACCTAAGGCATAGGGAGGTTTGCAAACTATGAGCAAGTTCCTGAGACTAGTAAGTACCAAAGCTGGAATTGGAACATTGAACTTAGTTAGGTTGCATCAAATCTCTCTTTCCTTTCTATCCAAACTGTTCTGTTTGAAGCTTCTAATTTTGAATTTAGTGTAAAGCCCAGGTTCCTGCCCTTGGGCCTCAGACACACTTTCCCTGACCACAGATTTAGTGCTGGGGTGGCTGAACATCCGAGACAGCTAATCTTCATGGTTTCATTCGTCTTAGTGAGTCACCTTGACAGATTTGGGCTCAGATGAAAGAATTCAGTAGAGTTGCTTCTCTGGCAAAATGAGAGCCTGTTCAAGAAAGTTAGCAAAATACAAAGTGCATATTCGGACTCTGAAACTGAGATGAAACCAATAAAAATACTAATAGCGGAACCAAGGCTCTCAGAAGCTGCCGGAGACTCTAGTTGCTATAGTACACACTCTTCACGCTTGTTTTCAGGGCACAAAGCTACACTGTTAAAGTCCAAACCCAGTGAAAGTTTACTTACTTTCATTGCCAAGACTGGGGCTGGCAGATTCATGGCCATAGATTTTCTTATCTAGAAAAGAAGAAGAAGACATGAATGTAGCACCCCAGAGATCCCAGATTGCCTGTACTTCAGTTTATGGACACAAAACGTGATTTCTCTTATCAGATGTTGAAAATAGAAGATTCTTCTGCTCGTGAAACATCCTTTAACAACTTCTCCCCATCTCCCAGGCAGAGCTAATGAAGGAGCTCTAACGTAGTGTGAATTCTGGACTATCAGACACCAGTGAATGCAAACAACGTCAGCATTGGTAGGGGAATGTGAAGACTTAGATGATAAATATTTCTGCGAATGTGTGAAGCAGTCTTGGCAATAGACAATGCCTACATCCTTCTTTGGCCCTGATGTGCCTTGCTTATAGTAGATGCTCACTAAAGGTTTGCTGAATCAGATTGGAACTTTATAGAGCTGTTATGTTTGGGAAATGCTGATTTGAGCCATCTGCTTTCTAAGCAACTGTTGAAGCAGAGTTCCGCGGTGCGTATGCATAGATATACATATAAACATAGTTGTTCTCGTTTTCATTCTAAATCCAGTAAAAGAAGACAGAAATATACATTTTCAGAACTTTCCTAAGCATACAATTTGCATGATTTCTTTTCTCTATATATAGCTAATTAAACTAGGGAAATAGTGGGGTCCTATTTTAATGGGAAATTTGTTTTTAACATGGGACATAGTGTCACACTTTGTGGGCTATGCTGAATCGGCCCTTTGTGGACTGTATGCTTATTCACAGCAAGGACAACATCCAGTGGTTTCCTTCGGGTGTGAAACCACAGATATGTATGGATTAGAAAGTTGTGGAAGAAAATAATTCATCCAGGGTACAGGATGCTAGAGGATGCAGCCTTGGCTTCATGAAAGAGTATGGTATCTCTTATATCTATCAAGCATTTTACAAGAAAGGCAAATCTCCTGGCAGAGTGCATCACTATTTTGGTGAAAGTATAATGCACGTAATTCTCCCCCATTCATTTTCTTCAAAAAAAAAAAAAAGACAACAATAGCAACAAAGGGATTCCTGTTCTCTGGTGAGTCTTTTACATCTAGATTCAGTCTGGTTTTTGTACAGAGGGAGAAGATGGGATCAGGGCGCAGAAACCTAAAGGAAAATAAGCAGGAGCCTGGGGTGCAGGAGGGAGTCACAGGCAGCCAGACACTGTTGTATCTGCAGTCAGCTATGGGGCGGCCTCCCCAGCTGCTTTGAATTTTAATGTGTGGAGCAGATGGTTGGTATAGATTGCCCTTGTTTTTGCCCAGGAGTCTGGCATCATTGCAAGTTGTCAACCTGTTTGGAGAACAGAGTTAAGAGCCTGTAGGTACGTCATAGAGCTCTGTTTTGCAAATAGATTATTCAGTGGAGTGGAGGTAAATATGAGACTCTATGATTTTAGGCATAAGCCCATCGTTTTTTCCAGGACAAAGCCAAGGCAACAGACTGGGGAGATTATTTCAGGCGAAGCCTGCCTGTCTGACTGTCTCCTTTAGCCCATAAACTGTGTATGTCAATGTGGCCTAGTGAAAACATATGGAAGTTTTAAGTAAAATCACGCCTCTTGGTGGAAGCCTCATCTATGTCCAGAGGGGCAGTATTTGTCTTAGTCCCTCATGCCCTCCAACTCACTGCCAACCACAATGAGCTTGCAAGTATCTGTTAGCATTTCCTTACAGTGCTCTGATTTTGGAGGCAGGTTCCCGTGCAGACCCGAGCTTCCAGCTGTCTTGGCCGGGTTGCAGTTCTCCCTGGCGGCAGGTTCCAGAGGACGATTTAGGTATCTATCCTGCTGGAGAAAATGTAGAAAGGACCCGCGTCTCCTGTCAGGGTAGACCTCGGGAGCCGGATGCCTGTCGGGGAACATACGAAAGTAGGTAGGCTCTAGGAAGTCTGGCCTCGCTAGGGAGGGAAAATGCCACATCGGTTGAGGATGTGCAGAGGGGGTCTTGGGAACAGACAGCGGATTCTGGGCTAGAGCCTTAGGACCACATTCATTCAAGCTGCTGCTGCTGCTGCTGGCGCCATTTGCAAGCGATGCTTCCGGCCGTGGCTTTGCCCAGGAAGACGTGAGACGCCACTGATTCGGAGGCATGCTGCTATCTGGAAAAGATTCAGACATTATGTTAAGTATTTTCGCCAAATGTCCAAAATAGAAGTAATTTACTATACATGGTATACATAAATATATATATATATATAATTTATTTTTATTATTTATCTTGAGAGAGGTGTGTATATAAGTGCAGGAGGCCAGACAATAACTTTCAGGAGTCAGTTCTTTCCTTCACCGATGGGCTCAAAAGATTGAGCTGAAGGCATCATACTTTCTTGGCAAGAGGTTTTACCCACTGAGCGATCTCTCTAGCCCCATAGTATATTTTTGACTTAAAGTAAGCAGAAAATGTTTTTTAAAAACCCACATTAACCACAGTGTCCATAAGTAACTACTGCCACCTCTAGATTTGTTTATATTATTTTTCAGACTGGTTTTGCTTCATTAAAATATCATGAATATCATTGAGCATAGTGGCACATGCTTATAATTTCATGCTCAGGAGACTGAGGCAGGAGGATTGGCTTGAGTTCAAGGCCAGCCTGGGCTATACAATGAATCTAAGAGCACTCTGGGCTTCAGCAGATGCAGTTTCGAGAAACAAACAAAACAAACATCCTCCCACAGCAATGAATGGAGGCAAACACGAGCCTTTTTCAAGTTACTAATTTTAATGTCATCACTTCCTTCCACAAGATTTATGCACAAGCTTAAGCCCAGAAACATTAAGGTAAAAACATTAAACATTTGTTTCTCTCTCTTTTTTTTGACTAAATCCAGAATGATTGCAGAAAGATACAATATGATTTAGAAAAAGCTAAAGTGGAAGGGCTTCCCATTTCAGAGTGAGACACAGAAGGCACAACAGTTTTGTTCTGTCTGTTCTGCTTCGTTTTTCATCAGGACCATTTTCTTTTGCTTAAGGGAAAAGTTGGATTTTAGTTCTTTTTACTAAAGAAGTCTTTTTATGGTGTTAACTTATTTGAAAGATTACCTTATTGCTGATACAAACACTACTTTTTAAATGGCTGTAAACTGTTCTGCCATAAGTCAGAGATAGACTAACAAAGATTCCATTGTGGGCAGCACAGTCAGTTGTTTCCATTTTTTCAACTGTGTTACCGACATCTCAGTGAACAACTGTGAGCATTGGCTCCTTACGAAGTCTTCTGTAATGAAGTGCTTGTTCTGCTGCTGCTATTGGTTAGCTCTGTTGTATAGCTGGTACTTTAAATATGGCAGATGGGAGGACTCCACAGAACTGTATAAAGAAATTAGTTCTTACCTGTCTTGGTCTGTCACACAATTATAGGAACTGAAAGCAATCTTAGGCATGAAAATGGCAAGAAACTGGGCCATGGTAGCTAAGCATAATGGGCTGGTAGGAAACTAAGCAAGAAGAGTGAATGCTGGACCCTTTTCAAGGTCATGTGGACTGACTAATAGGGATGGAATCTCCTTGGGTTCCTATTCTAATTGCACCTAGGATAGTAGCCGACTCCGAGATCTCAAATGTCTACCATAGCTCAGACCATGAATGGATGTTTTCCCATTCTCAGCATCCACTCAGGCGAGAGCGGGGAAGGCAGTTCTGCCAGGTGAGGCTTAAATCCTGGAGCCTCTCATCTACCTAAGATAATGGAGGAGTGGGCAGGGAGGGGAGCGTGACTGGGGTGGCAAAAACAAGTCTGTCTGAGACACTGCTTCCCTTTCTCTCCATGGGCACCTCTTTCAGCTCTCCTCAACATTTAGTTTGAATGGATTTTGTATAAAATGAAAAAACCATCTTAGAGACCAACGTAGTGCTGCTGGAGGATCTCTACCCATCATGGTAGCTTTGCCTGTTATATGGATGGCAAATGTAAAAGAAGCCAGATCACATATGACACAGGCATTCTGCTCAGCATCTCACATCCCTCCCATCAAGCAATGGTCATAGTAGGCTCCTCTAATAAAACAAAAGACAGGAAAATACATTGCAATATATTCACAGGGGTAAATACTACTTTTGAAAGTTGGTATTTCTAGCTACTAGAACTCAGGGCACTGTGTGCCCTGGAACAGAATGATTAAGCTGATTTCGTATAATCAGCGTCTATGCTTCATATTTAATGGGAGTACTGCATGTCCTAAGCACAAATTAGAAGCAAAGCCTGGCCCCTGACAACAGGGCAGTTTCCGTCTGGACGGCTTTACAGATCTCATACATATGCCTCGGGTGCTCGCTGAATGTCTGGGATGCGGAAAGCAGGGCCACAGAAGGTTTTCAACGCTCCTCTTAACTGTCTCTGTTCTAGTTAAGGGGAGTTAGGCAGTACCATTGTCCAAAGGCCCAGGTAGTCACTGGGGGCACCACAGTACAGCTTACATGGAAGAATGTGGAAGTGCACGTGGGATTTCAATCTTGAAGGCATAGCACCCCAATATTGTGAGTGGTCTGAGGGACCTACTTTTCTAGGTCTGGTTTGGATGCTTGTGGCCCATTGAGTGGAGACCCTTCATTGGGTGGGCTACTCATTCTCAGGGTTCTTGGGCAAATATGCCTGTAGCAACGCCCATCTGCTCTGTGGGCATAGGGTGATACCTTAAACCATACCTTGGACTTTCTCAAGGTTGCTGCTGCAGTGACTGTCTTCCCCAAGTGCCTCCTCTTAATTTCTTCTGAAAGCATGTGCAAGAGACCCCAAGTGGTGCCTTTTATACTTTCTCAAATACAAGATGACATGAATGGGCAGAGAGCATTTGAAGGTTTGGATTCAGAGCCACTTGAGGTAGATAGGAATTTTTACTTCAGTGAGAATATAGTTGACTTCCACTCCATATACTCCAACCCTAAGCATCGAGACCCACCTCTTAGTTCCACCCATGACTCTAGAATTCCTGAGACTGGTCTGTCTGAAGATCAGGAATGTCCAGAAAGTCAGAAAATTCTGCTCTCTCCTCCTCACTATTTAAGCTAAAGTGGTTGCTACTCCTCCCTCCTCACAAGAACACTCATTAGATACCACCATTCCCACCCATGCACACTTTGGAAATCCCAGAACCTTCAAGAAGGCCTTTGTTGTACTATAAAGTTTACACCCAAATCAGGGAATGATCCCACCTCCAGGCTTGGATGGGAGCCCAGACCTTCTATTCTGGACTACTTTCTAGACACACAAACGCTAACATTATCCTCTTAGAAATATGAATCTCCAGGCTAGAGAATATTCTGTTACTTTCTGTACTAACCTGCTTGTTTCCTTCACAGCAGTAGTTAAGTAATTTTATCATTCACTCTCTCGTTCACTCACTAGTGCTCTTTCCCATTACCCAGTATGAATGGAGTCAGCTCATTTCTCCTCTCCACCATCACATCCCTGGGAATTCTCACCATGCCTGGCACAAAGCAGGTGCTGTGTGCATATTCCAATAAATGTACACACATATATTCAAACACAAACATTAGATCATATGAATACACATACCCCACATATATATATATATATAATTGCAAATATGTATGTATGCTCACAAATGTGTGCATGCATACACACACACACACACACACACACACACACTACTCAGAACTCTTAATTGAACCTTTTTGTTTTAAGGTGAGCCGGTAACTTGTCACTTTGCAACATTATAAAGGCATATATATACATATATATACATATATATATATACACACACATATATATGTATACACACATATATATATAGAAAGATAGATGATAGATAGATTAGATAGATAGATAGATAGATAGATAGATAGATAGATAGATAGATAGATAGACAGATAGACAGACAGATATACACAAACACACTCACAATCTCTACAATTAGTAAAACTCTTGGCTGAGTATTTCACTCTATTTGCTTTTACAAGATGCTGAGACTGGGTTTATTTAGCTAATAGTTTCAGAGGAAGATAGATTATTCACACACAAGCGCTAGTGAAGACAGCCTAGTGAATGGCCTCATTACAGAAGTGTGTACAAGACTGTTTACATGGGGAGATAGGAAGCCAGGTAACACCTCAGTGGTCAAGTTCACTCTTGTATAATAGCTCACTGTCTCGGTAACTGAGAACTAACATGGAGTCTCAGGAGAACTATTTTATAACCCACTCTTTTTATTTTTATTTTTTAAACAATCTTATTTTACATGCCAATCCCAGTTCTCTCTCCCCCTTCCGTCCTCCCCCTGCTCCAAACTTCTCTCCACTCCACCCACCATTCACTTCTCAGAGAGGCTGAGGTCTCCCATGGGGAGTCAACAAAGTCTTTCACATCACTTGAGGCAGGACCAAGCCCTCCCCCATGTATCTAGGCTGAGCAAGGTATCCCTCCAAAGGGAATGGGTTCCAAAGAGCCCGTTTATGCATTAGGGATAAATACTAATAAATAAATAAATAAATAAATAAATAAATAAATAAATAGCAGGTTCCCCTGCTAGTGGCCCCACCAACTGCCCATACCACTCAACTGTCACCCACATTCAGAGAGCCTAGCTTGGTCTTAGGCTGGTTCTGCATTTGTCAGTCCAGGGTCAGTGAGCTCCCACTAGCTCAGGTCAGCTGTTTCTGTGTCCTATATCCGGTTTGATCTATTCGATCCCTCATGTTCCTCTCCCCACTCCCCTTCTCCTACTTCCATCCATCCCTCTCTCCCACGCTGCCAATTAAAAAGATCTCACAGTTTCTCACGTCAGCACACTGAAGCTTTGTTGGGGACACAGTCAATGTGTAACCAAACTATAGCCTTGGTCATTCTATCAACAACAGTTTATCTTAAGGATATAATGAAAGATAAAAGCAAAATTTTAGCTTCAAGGATGCTTAAAGTCATGTTAATAATATACTGAAAGGTTAGTAATAATCTAGATGTTATAAAATTAGTAAAAGTGGTATATCTAAAACATGATACTCTCAAGTTATAAAACAGTGTCATACAATATGTAACAATGGCACAAAGATGTATCATTCTACTTATTGTCAAATTGAAAAATAGATTATAACCTATTATATGCAAATTGGCTTTGTGTAAAAATTGAGGTGTGTGCA